TTCGACAAGATCTGATCCCCCCCCCCCCCTTTCCAGAGAAGTACTTAAGCATCCACACAAATACATAGAGTTCCCAGTACACCCGAAACATTTCTCGCTTGTTTTAACACTATACTATAAAAAGTCTAAAATATGACCAATATAATGATATCCTTCGTAATGAAATAATAATTTATCCTTCAAATACAATACAGATGAAAACATAATAGAATTAAAAAGAAATCAAAGAATACAAATAAGAAAAAATCATAGAATAGGAATTAACAAGGAATTATATACACCACAGGTGGAAAATATATGATTCAAATGAAAAATTATACAATTCAAACGATTTTTTACAATACAAATGGAAAGTGTAGAATACAAGTGGAAAATTACAGAATACAAATGGAAAGTCATATAATACAATAAAATTTATACAATACAAATGAAAAATTTTACAATGCAAATGGAAAAAGATCCACTACTGCAACGTTGGATTCGCAGCAGTTAAAACCAAAATAGGTCAAACAATATATTACATTTATTCGTGCAGTTTTTTTTTTGCATTGTCTAACCTTCGGTTTTTCATTTTTTTAAAATTTTACTCTTCATTTAGTTTCAAAAGAATATCTATTTGATTGTGATTTTAATGAGCACATTGTATATTACGGATTTCACTCAGGATTCAGTGAAAACTCTTGTAACATGAATTTGTTATTGTTTTAGGTAAATTTAAGTTTTCCACTACAACGGAATTTTACACAGCTCAAAGTAAAGAAAAAGTATTAGACGGTATTGGGTACACAAACACCTTTGGTGGAAGGAATACTGGTAAATTATGTAGCAAAAACTAACATTTTCATACAATGCCACTTTTTTTCATAATTACTACACTAAACTTGTGCGCAAGTGTATGTTAAAGCTGGTTGTATGTTTGTAACGATATTCTTTAGAGGATGCCATTGACCGTGAGAAAACAGCAGTAATTTCTGCAATTATTGGCCTTGGTGTGGCACTCTTAATACTCACCATCATTCACCTATATCTACTTATCCGAAATTGTGTGATAGCGCAAACAACTTCGGGTTGAACACAACTACTAATTGGTACATTATGTAGAAGAAAATATTACCCTTGTTTTGTCAATTTCTTAGCATTCTTTAGCTTTATTTGTCCCGAATTCGAAGTAAACAGGTCGAAATGTTAGTCATGTACATATAAGTGGTACATTTAAGTGATAGAAAGTAATTACCTAAAGCTTTGAGTATATTTTTTCAATTAAAATCATTTAAATTTGAAATGGATCGAGTTGGAAAAAATATAGATCTTCTATCTGTATAGATGCACAACGTATATCTGTATACTGTAAGTAATTTTTTATTTGCAAGAACTTTATTTTGCGTATTTTAAAGGCAGAGATTTTAAGCACCACCTTCAAATCACTTGGAATGGGTAGCCCTGTCAATCAAGTGCGTGAAGGTCCATCATTGGATGCATGTAACTTGATTGACACTTACTTACTGGTCCCTGTGTATACCCTGTACACCTTGATTGGGACTCGCAGTGACCTTCTAATTAACTGTTGATCCATTGATGTTTACTGAACATGGTATACAGAAACTATATTACTATGAAAATTTTATATTGTAATATATGAATTAAATATACCTTTAATTAGTATTTGAAAGTATTAGAATATAATATGCTCTTTTTTTTAATTAACCTTTAGCCTGCTTAGCACATAAAACTTTTTTTCAAATGAAATTTTGATATTAATTTTAATATGCTAAATGGTAACCCTAAATTAGAGATGTTATTCACAAAGTTCAGAGCAGCACTGTGTGCAGTAATTAAATTTAAAAATAATGTTTCCAGTCATGGGTCACTTATATTTTCCTTTGTTTAAGAATTTACAAGTAGTCTTTTTAGCATGTTTCATGGTGACAAGATCTTATGGAGGTTAGGATAAACCTAAATTTTTTTCTTAGTGAATTTAGTTAACACAACTTTCTTTTCATTTAATAGATGGGATCCTGTGGAGGAATGGATTTTAAAAGTCTAATTTTTTTTTACAGGAGTTTTTTTTTTAAATTAACACATACATTAACATCTAAAACAGTCTTTATTTTAATATTTGAATTTATAGTATGATAAAATAATTTTTTTAATTGGTCGGGATATTTTCAAAAATTAAAAAATAAATCAAAATAAAATTGGAAAAAAAGAACAACTTTTTATTGCTAATTTTAAAATTGTCACAAAATCCCCAACACAGGTAAAGTTTGACATCTGGGTATATTTCACTGTGTATTAAATCACTTCCTGTGTATAGGGAATAGTAGACAGATGGCCACAGGTAGACGGCTACCCTCCAAGGCATTCACACCTGTACAAAATAAGCTCCTCCCTCACCTGGAATTTACCACCCGAAAAAAAATCTCTGCCTTTAAGTACATGTATTCAATTGTATAATGAGCATATTTTGAACCTAATACATTAATGGTCCAATATACATGATCAGGGTATGATTTTGAAGATGTTATCAAATAAATATGTTACACCAAAGGGATTTACAAACTTCTGATTATTGTCCAAGTAATATCACGTTGAATTTTACATTGAAGTCTTTCAGCAGAACATTTTTTGTAAGATGTTGCAAAAAGTAATTTGAAATTCAAACAAATCTCTTGGTGAAAATATGCATAAACTCATTCTTTAGTACACTATGAAATAACATGAATTATTTACTTCATAAATTTTGAGAAATCAAAAAATTTCTTCTTTTCATCAAGGGCAGATAAATCTCCAAAACTTTAAATGTGCAAATTCATTGTCTCCTTACATGTTATTTGTCTTGTGAATTGGGTTCATTTCACCTTCATCGTTATCTAGCAATGAGTTTTCACTAGTTTAAAATTATTAAAAATCGTTCAAAATCAATTCATTATACATTGATAACCTTAAATGAGACAGTGTGCTCCTGAAAATGTAATTCCCGCGTAAATGACTATTTCTTATGCACTGTTAAGATTATATAGAGAAAAAACTCAAATTTGTAGAAATTCTGTTAATAGGAGTAAATGTCTATCTCACATAAATAAGGTCTCGCGAAAATTAAGGGATCAACAGTATACTGTATAGTGTATCATCTATGGTTATAAATATGTATAACAGTATATAAGCAGAAAATCTTTATGTAGCTTATAATTAACTGATGTGTATTTTACAACAAATCCCTGAGCATGAGTAAGCTATTCCCTATGAATAATTTTGCACTGTAAAATAATAGGAAGAATGAAATAACAAAAAATGCGCTTATCCTTTTATTAATATTTTGAATCAGAAAGTTCTACATGTTATAAGAAAATGTCTCTGAGGAGTCGCCATCCATAACATGAAATTTGTGTTCACTGTGTTATATCGATTTGACATAAAAATAAATGGCTGTAATTAGCAACTAATTCAGCCGTCATTGCACATAAACAATTTTATTCGTGTTTGAAATTCTTCAATAAGTCGCCAAATTGACAACCATTTTAAATTGACTTGGCGATCGTCAAATTAGTATTATTGATTTTTAAAATAAAAATGCTATATCGTAATATAGTACATACATTTGAAATATATGATTGTTTCTTTATTCCTTGTATTTAAAAGAGATTGACAAAGAAAATTTGAAATGAATTTCGAGATGAATGTAAATATAACTTATATATACATGTACAATGATTTTTTTTCTCATCTGTCATCTGCACTTTATGCTTTTTGCATACTTAACCTCCTTTCATAATTTTGACACAGCAATTTTTTATTAAAAAAATCCTTCTAAAAATGCAGGAAAAATGAAGATTGAATGTCTTCAGTTTTAAAGGTAAACAGAAAAAAGGAATTTGAAATAAAATTAATTTTGAAGCATTTATCCTTCTACGGATCTTTTTTACTGAGATGCTAAATGGATTTATCCTTTTCATTTATTGATTAAAAATGAATTTAACCACGATTCATTTAAGGGAATGATATATTTGATATAAAACTTGTAGTTTTCCAGTGATACAAACCAAAATAATATTTGTGAATAATTCTTCCTCCTACACCCTTTGCTAGCTTTTATATTCGCAGTTACGATATCTCCAAGAGCTTGAATACCAAGAACTATAAACCTGTATTTTAAAATTAGAATTAACGAACTTATTATAAAGATACGTATACAATGTATAAACATAACAGATGTTTTTGAACATGCCTCGCATATTGACCTAGCGCTATACTCGGTGTCCGTAAATTGATAAATTAAGAAAAATATACAGCCTTGAACATTACTTTTTCCTCTATGTTATCATATTTAAGTGGATCTAAAATAATTAAGTTTATGTTACAATGCTCAAAAACTGCATTGTCGACAAACCCAAAAATGAAATGTATTGAGAGAAAGAAAATAACTGAAAACCATATTTAAATACTGTAAATGTAAAAAAATATGCCTTGGTATAATTTACGTTAATTCACAATAGGAAACATCTAGAATATATATTCCTCAGCTTTTTTGCCTTTAATGTTTTTTTTAAAATTGTTTTTATTATTATTAAACGTTATGCATAATCCTGACATTGAGAAGGTACCTTCAAACTAAATTTCCTTGTCTCTAATTAGTGTAACCTTCAATATCCTTTAATTATCCCTTAATAATTATACGATCTTTCATTTAAGGATATTAAATGAGCAGTTTAGTCATTATATTTTGTGAAAAAGTAAAAAGACTTAGAATATAAGAATACATGCGATGGAAAAACTAAAAGGACGAAAAAGAGAGAGATCAATAAATGGAGCACGTTATTTTATTTAAAGGCCTGTATATATATTTGTAATAAATTACATTTGTAATACGCACAAATTAAGGACATGGTGTGGCAGGTTTCAGGTTACACTTCCCTGAATTACAGCAAACACGGATAACCCTATTTAGAAAACAAAAATAAAACAGAAAAACCGAAACCATGATTATTACTGTGGGAAAATATGACAAAAGTTTAGGATGTTTATTGGTAAACGATTGCAAAATCTAGTTTGTATTATTGTTTTTGAGATCTTTTTCCTTTCTCTATCCGATGCCTACATTCGCTGTGAGGGGTAAATATTTTCTCAAACATACATTGCTATTTTAATGTTAAGATACAGTAGAAGGTTTTTTTCATACTTTAGTAAAATGTTTCAAACATTTTATAGAAAACCGCATAATTGTTGTGAGGGATATATGTGGAGTACTTCCATAGAAGATTGCATAAGTAAGTTTTCCTTAAGAAAAAAAATGAAAAGAATATTCTTTATCTGTTTGAATTTTGCATCAGTTTTCACACAACGGAAAATGATTGATGTTATTTTGATGGCAAATTTTTGTCAATTTGTTTGAGTAAATGTGTCTTTTTCAATTCCATGATATGCATTTGTATGAATGAAATATATTTATATAAAATTGCGATCACTTAAATGATGAACAAATAGAAAAAAAATTCATGCTAATTGTTTTTCTTTCTTTCAATGTCAAATTAGTCGTTCAAACATAACCGTGGTAATGACATAATAAAAATATTATTCAAATCGGTTCATTACTTTCAGCTTTACATTGTAATGAGCGAAAGCTATTGAATACTCATTATTTTTTTCTTTTTTTTACCAGAGTGTAAAATAGGTTACTACGGAATGAATTGTTCCAGTCCATGCCCACCTCCAACCTTTGGATTAGACTGCCAAACATTATGTCCCTGTGAAAATGATATCTGTAATCATATTACTGGTTGTATGTTAGAAAGAGGTAAAAATCAAAATATGATTGGATACATTTTCTTTCTTTTTGTATGCGCCATTAATTTTCAAGATTGCTTTGAATAATTTTTCAGGAACCACTGAATCCTTGACTCAGTCGACAGCAGACTTACATGTATTAAGAAATCAGCCAGCATCAATGAACTCGTTGATGACTGTTGGTATTTCATCACTGGCTATATTGTCCACGGTTATTTTCGTCGTCTACATTGGGTTAAAGATCTTTCCAAGAAACAAGAAAACCGTCAGACATCTAGATATTGAACTGATGGACCTAAGTCAGAGTAAAAATAATCCCTGTAAAACGTGAAGAAAATCTGACAATAAATTCAGTCTTATTTTATGATTTTATGGTTGATTAAAAGATTATCTTCTTTTTCTTATTCAAAATAGTTGACAATTTAAAATAGATAATAATAAAGATTGTATTAGCTTAATCTTTAGTGCTCGTTTACATTCTCACACATTGTCCTTATAAAAAAACAACAAATAGTCTTACAATACTTTAATGCACTTTTCAAAAATAATTTTCCTCAACACATATTGCTTCAAATTTAAAAAAAAAAATAATAATATGTGCAGGAAAGAACAAGAATTGAAAAGCAAAAATATCCTTTGATTATAATGTACAAAGATTATAATTCCAATCATTTCCCATCATATTATGTTCTCAATTCTCAAGAGAAACTTTTCATTTTTATGTATGTTGCCTTCTGCATTCAGATATAATATGAGAATTGAAATAGAATGCATGATTAAAATACATAAAAATTAACAAAATGTTCACTTTCATCAGACAGTCAAAAAGCGTATATCGACTTACATTTTTTAAAATTGTTTATTGCTACATAGATACAGGAAGTGGAGAATAGGAAAAGTTGGAATTCATCACACTCATTAGCAAATCTTATTTCGTTGTAGTAAAGATATATTTTGGGAAAATATCCGAGTATGAATCAAATGCTAAAGTCAGGCTCTGAATATTATATATTTAAGGCATGTTTTTTTAGTTTTGTGTGAGTTATTGGTTTGTGAATCACACAGACTTGTCACGTAAGCATATTGTATGAAGCGCGCTAGCGCTTCATTAAAAATATGCCTATGTGCAAGTCTGTGTGACTCACACACCAATAATTCACACTAAACTGAAAAACATTCCTTATTTTTACATTTTACCTGTTTGGAGGCAACTAAAATATACTCAATATTTGAATTTCTCGCTGTCCTATATTACTGCATTTTACTAACGTCGGTGCAGTCTCATTGTGACGTCACGTTAACGCACGTTTCTCCGTGTATATTTCTACGCGTGAGTATACACGAAAATGGTTTTCAAATCAATTTCACAGTAAGCTTACTAGAAAATCTCAGCGAATGTAAGTATTGTGATTTAAATTGCATAAATAAGATGTATCAACAACGCCTTTTCAATCAAATATTCAGTTTCATTACTACGTTGAGTCGATATCCCCTTAAACTCTTAGAAATGATCCTGTCTGATTTATCTGTAGTTTTGCTCATAAATGTAATACAGTACTGTATTTGTACTTTTTTGTCCTGTTTCGTTTGTTCTCTGTCATGGTCAAATGTTATAAACAATTCCTAAAGAGAGCACCTAAAACAGACCGACTAAATTAAACAAGTCTACTATGTATGTTTTATATTTACATTTAGATGTTTAACCAGAAAAAAATCAATTAGGACTATTTAGCTACTAAATGCACGATAAACGGAATGCCTTCAATTTGCCTGTGCTATAATCAAGTGCATACGAACATGATTTAATTTGTAAGAGCCTATTTTACGTGTGAAAGTTTACTTTAACAATGTTTCTTAAACCATAATTCAAAGTCAAATACATACTTCTTTTTATGAGCCAAACAACACAGCTCTATTCGGAGGAATGTATCGGTTTTAAAATATACATGTGATCATATTAAGAAACGAATGAAACTGTGCAAGCAAAGTAAGGCTATGAATAAGAGCTTCATGATAATGAGGCATATCCTTAATGAAGAAAAAGTTTAAATAAATCTTTTCTTTAACATACTTAATTCACAAGATACGTTAAAGCTATCAGAGATTATGATGTCATATTACGACGCCAGTGTTCCTTTCTCGAAGATATCAAGCACGTTAAAAATGTGCTTATTGTAGTAGAATAAATTCTATTAAAGATTAATAAAAATGTTGCTCAAATCTTATGCATATTTTTAATTTGGCAAGAATGCTTTAGAAAACTGACAACGGACCTTCATTTTTTTTTCACTTTTTCTACTCAACAGTAATTAAGCACTTGAACTGTCGATATTTGTGAATCACTATGATAGATCTTTGGGATATTTGACCTTTAGTAAGACCCTGATTCTGTAAAATTACATAGGATCAGACCTTGGATCAGATATATTTTGTTGGTTTACTTTAAACATTTTAGGAGAAAGGGATAACCTCATATTATGGCATAATAATGTGTACCGGCTAGGATATTCCGTGGGTATCAAATTTTATTAGAAAAATAAGCTCTCATAATTTTTTATCTGATAAATATAGCCAATTTGTGTTTTAGTCTGTTTTTTCACATGGAAACGGAATACTGAGTTTTTATTCTCTTGCTCGGTTAACGTTCGAGACTTGCAAACACAAGTGCAGAGAAGTATATCTAAAGAATGTGTAAAGACCTCAATTTCCTTGATAGACGGATGTAAAACGCCGGATTTATGATATTGAAACAAATAAAATGTGGTTGACACTTACATGTACATATACATTGTGAAAGGTAATTTTTTTAACATCACTTCTTACACGTTATTTTATTTGACAAGTATCATGAAATTAGAAGTACTTACAAAATGCATGTTCTGTATTAAAATTTAATCTTATAGACCGTTGTGAATACAACAATATCAAGATTTTTTTTTCATTGTAATCTTTATTTGTTTGGAAAGGCAGAAATGGAGAAGAAATAAAGAGCAAAAAAAAAAAACAAACAAACAAATGTGTCTGTCAATGTCGAGCTTACATGAACTATTGTTATTCTTAATAAGTTGGGATGTAACTACCGCATTCTTTTGGTCCGAATGGCCAGTAAGGTAAGACACAAGAAATTGCAACTTCATATCCACAAAGTGTTTTATGAAAATTGATAAAAAAGAAAAAAAACTATTTGGTTGAGATAAGGTTTTTTTTAAATTTCAGACCGGAATGCCCTGATGGATACAAATCTAAAGAAATAAAATACCTTCAATTCAAATGTGTTCGTCAAGGTAAATACTTATCATACTCTGATTACAGTCGTGTACAATTTTCAATGGTAAACATTGTTGATAATGTTTTTTGCATAACTCAGTGATGCTTTTTTTACATGTTAAAAAAACTTTTCTTTTTTCAAAGCGAGGGTTGTTCAGAAAGATTGAGGAAAATTACTATATTTTGTTCTTTTTCATCAGAAAAAAATTTCTATAAAATTATCATTTGCATAGTTGCAGCTAACACAATATTTGACAAAATATTGAGTAAAATTTGGGAGTGTTGGAATGTTTTAGCGCTACTAATAGATTATCATTGTAAAAAGTCAAGAATTAAAATGTCATTGATTGTAATGGAAAAGTGAACTCAAGTGAAAAGAGAAATCATTAAAGTTATTTGCACAGGCAGAAAACATTGAAAAAAGTACCAGAAGTAGTTTAGATGACGCTCAAGTGGTATTCAATTACACATACGCCTTTCTTCAAAGTTCATACTATATTTTCATAAATATCTGTTACATGTTACATAATAATTATTATGCTTCATAGTAGAATTTTATATTTTGAAGACTGCCCTGCTGGATATTTTGGCGATAATTGCAAAAGAAGATGTGCTTTTCCCTACTATGGAAAAAATTGTCAATCGATATGTGATTGTGGCAGAAAATTATGTGATTTTCTGAAAGGATGTCCTACTCCATGTAAGATTACCTTATATATGTACTGATTTACATATATATCAACGATTAAAAAAAAATTAGAAATTCTATATAAAATGTTCCAATGCATTGAAACGATTTAATGCCCTTCATCATACAATACCCTTCCGTTAATATATTTCCTATATAAATTGAAAAAGGTAAAACAACTATCTTTAATAGTTTGAAAATTCCCAAGAACTCCAAACTATGGTACATGTAAATATTGTACTGCAGTCAATGTTAATTATGTAAATGTTGATGACTTTCAAGATGAAACAAGAATATTAACAGTCTCGTTTCAAGTCTTCATTTTAAGTTCTTAATGTCGATACAATGACCTTATTAGCTAATACAATTTAGCATGGTGTCAATTTCTGACTGACTTTTTTACACTGATTGTTGGGCCACAATTTAAACACAGAATTATCCACGGGTTTTTCCGTTATTTCCTGGTCATGACAAGGAGCACACGACTGGTGTGTGACCGGTCGGAAACGGATGCTCACTCCTCCATTGCACCTCATCCCACCTTTGATTATTTGTGGGTCCGTGTTTGCTATGCTCCAGTTTTCTATTGTTTAATGGGAGTTAGTAGAGCTTAAACATTGTTCGTCATCTCCATGTATTTCATGTATGTCTCTAAAATTTAAAATCATATTAAATGTATGCTTCAAATTATAATTTTTGAAGACAGTGACATTCCTTTCCCTTCTACCTTCGAAGTTGCAACGTGTATTTTAAGTTGTATTTCTCAGATATTTTGGATAGAAAATACAAAATTCTTTTCTAAGTATATATCACATATTCATTATTTTTATTTGATAAAGTATATTTCACCAAGTATCCTACAAGATCATTTAAAAATACTCGCACTATTTTAAAAAAGATAATAAACTTATGTAAATAACTTTTTTTCTTTATCTTAAAGTTCCTTTCTGTCCTGATGGATACCTCGGTAAATACTGTGAGACGGAATGTCGCTATCCAAACTATGGTCAACAGTGTCAACAGGAGTGTTTATGTCCTAAGGTTCACTGCAACATTTCCAGTGGATGTCTTAAATATATGAACGGTAGAGTATTTATCTAATCATAGATCTGAATTATTGCTGTAATAAATCATTGGTTTTGTACTGTGAATCTTAACAAATAAAAAAAAAACTACAAATTCCAGATTCTTTCAAAAGGCATCCAACAAAGCCATCAAACAACACGTCAACACATGCAAAGGTTGACGAAACGTACAATATAGCTACGCTAGAAAATCCATCAACCATCTCACGGAAGGGCACGGGTAGAGAGTCTTACATATATATCCTATACAATAGGAATATCATTTATTGTTGAAGGAATCACACTCTAGTTAGTAAAGTATACCAGTTCATCAACGACAGTGGGAAATGCGGGATACTTTGCATAACTGGAGAAGCCCGTTTTGCATAAATTATCCCACTATCGTTGATGTCCTTTGCATACTATACTAACTGGGCAGTGATTCTTTATATTTCCATTTCATTGTAAAATATTATTGTAGAATTAGATTTAAAAATGTAGACATAGATTTAAATTACGCGAGGACTCCCATGCCAATTTTATTAGTCGTCGTCCACAGACGTCAAACACAAAGCCAGCTGCACGAGATTTACATGCATATTTGGCCTCCTTAGCTGCTGACCTATCGCCCAACCTAATTTACATTGCGTTAGAATTGTCAAGATATCAACTCTGCTAACTTTCAGAGTTATCACAGAGAAAAAAAAAATAGAAATGGAAATATTTTCAAGTTAACATAAAGGTGATATAGAAGTAAAAATGCATGTGTTAATAATTTAGTCATGCATTTATGCATCCAGTTTGTTCTAAAAATGATCAGTTGAGTGAAATGTCTGAAATATGTGCATAAGTTTAAAAGTTTATTTAGTTGCAAAATTTCTTTTTGTTCTTCAGAGTTATTTAAAAATTGTTTAGAGGTGATAAATTGATTGTATTAAAACTATTCCTTATATCTGCTTCACATTAAGATCAACATATTTGTCCTGACGGTTTCCATGGTAGTAATTGTAAAACGCCTTGTCGATACCCTAGCTACGGAGCTTACTGTCAGAAGAAGTGTTCTTGTTCAAGAATCTTGTGCAATGCCACTTCTGGATGCCCGAGGTCAAATCATGGTCAGCTAATTTTATATTAACTCTTACTTTCATAAAGTTGTCATTTTTTTGTATTTGTAAGCTCTACAAATTAACATAACATAAAGTACAAAATGTTCGAAAAATATAAAAAGGAAATTAAATACTTTGATGTTAATTTCCTTTTTATATCTATAAAAACTCAATTTTCAAAGTTCAATTGATGATTTCCGATTTCCGTTTTTGTTTGTATTGAAAGTTTGTAACAGACACTTTGGATATCCTTATGAAATGCGTATTTTAAACACAGTTTGTCGTTTTAGATTGGGAAATAAAAAATATTGACATAAGTATCTTGTTTTTTTTAATTAGAAGAGAAAAATCGGTCTTTTGCAACAAGGAGGTCAACTGTTTTTTTTGCAAGTTCAGCAAGGACAACAGATGAAAAAGGTATTAAGCTAATAACGGGAGGCAAAGTATACCAAAAAGAAATTGCAGTTGTATATACAGGTAAAATAATTAATTTGCCATTTAGTTTCAGTGTTGTTGAGGTTGATTTTATAGTGCGGACACTATATTATAGTTTTACTCACTGACAAAGGACAAGATAGGGAAGCAGCCGAATCTGGCCCCTTATTTGATATAAAAATCAGAACACTGGTAAAACTGTGATAGTTTGTAGTTAAGAAGTTAAAATGATGCTTACTTCAAGACAAGCACTAATTTTGATTCAAAGCCTACATGGCAGCCACTAGAGGGTGCAGAAATAGGACATTTTCCCGAATTTCCTCAATTCTGGTGGAATTTCATCATATTTGGGATACATTTCTCTTCGGAAAACATAGAGCACACGCTTGCCTATCTGAGATTTTTACATATATACTGCATCTGATATCAGTGTATAAAATATATAAATTTAGTAGATAGGCAAGCGTGTGCTCTATGTTTTCCGAAAGAAAATGTGCTGTAAAATTAGTGAAAAATTACATAAAAATGAGAAATTTCGAAAATTGACCTATTTCCTGACCTCACTGTGACCCCTGTATTTCCTAAATCTTAAAACCAACACTCATTACGTGGCAGGGGTTGAAACAGGTTTTCATGGATAAACTGTTGGATCATTCTGAAAGACACCCCAAATCGGGGACCAAATACTGTTCTTACGCTATCTTGTCCTTTATATTAAATGTTATTTTTTTTGTATCAGCACTGTTAAGGTAGAACCTATGTCGGAGAAGTCTTTGTCACAAGATTTTCAAACTTTTCATAATGATAAATTAGCACTTGCTTATCAATCAGTTAAAAACACATGACATGTTTCCTTGTTATTAAATGTAGTGCAGCCATTTAAACATGGAATGATAAATACATATTGCGACTTCACAATTTCAGTCATTTTAGGGGTACTTGTCATGCAAAGAAGACAACAAAATCCCAGAAATGCCTCTTTAAACATCGTTGTTTTTATTATTTATTAATTGAACAGTATTAAACAATATTTCCCGAGAATAAATTCTTTTTTATTCAATTGACATAAAAGATAAGTCCACATTTTCAAAACTATAGGCAAATGAACTCTATTTATTTTCAGTCAATTTTCCACCCTACATTTGTAAATATATATCAGAAGTCTTTGTCACAATGTTTTCAATCTTTAATATAATAAAGAACATACCCAAATAATTACAAAAAGTGATTAAAATATATACCTTTCCCCTCTAACGAATGAGAGATAGGTTATTTACCGATACTAATATTCTTGACCTTTTTGCACTTACACGGATTTTATTATTAAATGACTTTTCGGGGCTACTTTCAGCTTAAAAATGTTTATAAAAAATTGTGCCTTTAATTTAAAAGATCATATTTAATAGAGAAATTGTAACAAAACTAACTCCAAGAATATGAATAAGTAACAATTAATTATGAAAAGGAATGCACATCATTCCATGATAGATATCACAAAATGTACACACAATCTACAACACGTACATCTTTGACTTTCATCAAGATATTACACTATTTACCGGTAGTTGGCAACTGACGATTTTTTAAAAAGATTTTTGCATTCCTTCAAAATAGTTACATACCATTTACATTATTACAGTTTGTTGTATACAAGGCAATTTCATCACACAATATAGTCTTGGATTTGTCAACTTAATTAAGGTCAAGATCTATTAAATGAAAGGTGCCTACAGGTTTCTCTAATTCAAGAAATATATTGTGATTAAGCATTATATTAAAAAATATATATAAATCGAATATTAAGAAGATTATTTCGGCATGATTTTAAATTGAATTCTGTGAATTTCAAAATGCAGTTTTTTCTACCATTTCTATACTGAAGCTGAAAAGTACGGGAACTGATATTGAATTAATTATGACGTCATAATGGATCTAGCACAGGCTAAACACATTCACTAGTTATGATGTCATACGACGTAGGTTCTACGTTAAATGAGCACGTATGTTTTCTATTTGTTTTCTATTAATAACATACAGAAGGAAAGATGGAAGCAAAAGCACGTCATCAAGTAAAAGGAATTCCCAGTGTAAATATTGAAATTTTATGGAGTATCGTGGTATTGGCTGTGCTAACCGTCTCCCTGGTCATTGGACATATCTATCTGACTTTTTCAAAACGGCTTCAAAGAAGAAGAATACATGTACAGAGTTCAGAAAATGTGTATTCTATTGCTGATGATGAATAGGTTAAACTTAAGTGGTTTAAGCTTGAATATAGTTTGATGTAAATTAACATTTGTGAAATTGGCTTTGAAAATGTACATTAATTTTGTGGATGATACAATTGGCGAATGGGCAATGAGGAAACTCAATATAGTTGTCAAAAAATATAACTACCCGGGTATTGAATTATATTATGACAGCTCAGATAGTTTGTAAGCCCGTTAAAGTCCTCAACTCAGTATGATACAGCTTGAATCTATAGAAACTTAGCATATGGGTGCTTATTTAAATTAATATGATTCAGTGACTCAGTGAGCTCAGCAAAGATTTACTTATATTGAGATCTTATGTCCTTAAGGTCAGCCTATGATTACTCATACATGTATAAACCGTATCCACTTTGTACATACTACATGTTTTGTCCTTTGAATAAAGTAAATAGCTTTAGGAAAAACGAATGTGCTTTAAAACCCAAAAATATGGTGGAATTTTTTTTTTATTCAGAGATCTTCTCAAGTAACAAAAAAAAAATGATTTTCTCATTACAATATCACATCATGATTGCAATGAGTGCCACATAATTATCATTAACTTTGAACTTTATAAATTGTTCAGACCTGGTTTTGTATTGCAAAAAAAGTTTGAATAAATATTTATATCTGTATGTATTTTGTCAATCGCTCTTTCTTTCATGGCTAAAACTGTTATTATTCACAAAAGTGAGGTTTTAAAAGTAAATAGTACTTAATCGAACTATTGCTCAAAGATTGCCGGAAAAAGGAAATAAAGTTTTCCTCTTTATAATAGATCTCTTATTATCGATACATAGATATACATGTCAAACTATCTGTAGATAATATATTTTAGTATCAATACATCAAATGGATAGTATGTTATTTTTCTTTTTTCCAATAACACCTGTTATTTTTGATCTTGCAAAATGTTCAGAAATCCCGGAATGTGCAGCGTACGTGTTTATCTTCCTTAAATATTTTTAAGACCCTTAGAACGCTGAGAGGAGGTGGGAGATTTTATTCTGAGTATGGTATTTTGCAATAGCAAAAACAAGGTTCGTTTTGGGCTTTATCAAGTTATAACCGAAAAAGTTTATTGTTTTTGAAATGTAATGAAAGTAGCTTTTCCTATGAGTTGAGTAGATGAATATGGTAAATCATTAAAGAATATGGACTGAAAAAGACCCTCCTGAAAATGTGACGTCATTAATTTGGTAAATTTCTAAATTCTACGCAGAAAAAATTTAAAATGATCCATTTGTGTGCTTATTTTCTTTTATAAATTAGAGTCTGCAGTTGCTGCCCACCTCAATGTACAAGTTCATGACGTTACAATTAGCATGTACGATTTCATAATGTAACAAGATGTGTTTATGAACTCATCTGATAAAGTTGTTCAGTCACACATTTTAAACGCACTATATGTATAAAGCTGTTCAGTCAAACATATAAGACGCACTCTATGTATAAAACTATATTCAGTCTAACATATTAGACACATATAGTTAGGGGTTAATGATGGTGATTATTATTGTTTTAAACCGAATCGGCAATATTTCAATATTTCGGCGGGGGTTATTCACGAAAAAAGGACATATTACCCGCTACTCATGAAAAGAGATATGTAATTGTAGTCACAATGAGCTATAGCGTAAAGGCAGTTCTTCGTACCCCTAAAAATCTAAATAAGGAAATAAAGTGCAAAGTTTATATTCGAAAAAAAACAAAAACATCCTAATAAAATGTTTAAAATGATACACAGTTGAGAACTGACCTTTGACGGTGAAGACATTTTTTTTTAACTATTCTTATTTCTTTTGCGATACATACCATTGATGTTCCAAACTTTCATATTAATTAGATACTTCGATATATCTTTGTCTCCGGTCATATTGTGCGGAAAAATTAATAGCACAGTTACGGAATAACAATATATTGTTTGCAATGAAATTTTATCGGGAGCAATAGTTTTCTTGATAAACAAAAAATAAAAAAATTATAAAGTTTTTAAAAATATTCTAAATGATCCGTATTTGTTTTTGAGAATTAAAGTTAAATGTGGAATGAGGTGTATATACCATTTACTACATAAATTATTAAAAAAAAGTCTGCATACATGTAAATATTGCAGACTTCATAAGTATTAATATCTGCATACTCTAAATACACTTGAATGGAATCACTGAAGTGTTTTAGTTATATTGCGGAGGCATGAAAGGCAATCGCCGAAGTAACTTTGATTTCTTCATTTTTTGTGAGAGGGGGATATCATATATTGTAAGGTCGTAATCAAATTCTTCTCCATCCTCAGCCTTATCACCAATCATCTGTTGCCAGGCTTCTATTCCTCTTTCTTTTAAAGTACCTAATTGTGAAATATAAGAAATATTATTACATGCATATCAAAAGCATAGATTCACTCATAAAGAGAAATAATGTTACATATATGACGCCATTCCAATTTCAGTGATGCATTTATTTGCAAATGAACACATCGATCTGTGTAAGTCATAATTTCCGTTAAGCAGGAATTTTGTTACGGTAATGTTCATTTAGCGCTTAAAAGGCATTCATTGGAGTAAACTATGGTGTTCGGATAGGGCCACTTGCTATTTAAGCTCAACAGCTCTTTTAGAAAAACATATCATGCCGTAACGCTAATATACATCTCGCCACTACAACATTAAACAACACGATGTCACGCCAACACGAGTTTGCACAACACACCATCACGCCAACACGAGTTCGCTGTCGCGCTAACTAACACACAACTCGCAACGCCATGTTGTGTGATAGTGCGATAGCGTGTTGTGTGAACTCGTGTTAGCGTGACAGCGAGTTTTGTGTTAGCGCGACAGCGTGTTGTGCGAACTCGTGTTAGTGCGACATCGTGGTGTTCAGTGTTGTGATAGCGCGACGGCAAGTTGTGTGTTAGCGCGACGGCGTGTTTTAATGAACGCCATGTTAAGCTTTAGGAAATGGTCCTATCCGGACACCATTTAAATCAAAGCGTGCCTTTCTTCCCCTACCTCTGACTGTGTTGTCCAGTAAACAAGCTATAATCCCCCCACATAAATTAGGATTAACCATAAGCATTTTTATTATGCTGTCACGTGAAGGGGATCCTGCAAATAGAGCATCGAAATTTAAAATGCGTCAAAACAACAAGCACGAAATTTACATCAATACATTTTTGGATTGTTATTTGACCTCAGTTATTTTATTTAGTAAAGGTTAGAATTTTTATTAAGTTTTTTGTCTTTACATCTTTACATACAGTACACCCATCTCGAAGACAAAAAAAGACAAATATAATAAAAACAAAGTTATATAGGGTCTCAGCAGCCAGTTTATGCTTAGCTGTCCAACCTGTTTGTATTGCATCTGGGTTTATCTCCAACCAGTAGGGGATCATGAGACCAAACAAAATGGAAGTTCCAATGATCGCAAGATTTCTTGACGAGCTAAGGGAGACAACTTGTAGATTAGACAGGACGACGCCATTAAACATGCCAAACATTACAATCAGGGCCCCGCCTAGGACTGGGTAAGGGATAGATAGAAATACAGCAGATACTTTTCCAATAATTCCAAATACAATATATATAAGACCAACAGCAAGAAAGACATCTCGACTGGCAACCTGTCAAATATATTGAAGATAAAAGAATTGTTATTCTGTATCAATGCAAAAAGTGAAAAGAAGCATAATTATACAATGTACATGTACAAGCCATGGTCATAGCAGTGGGTACCTTTAATTTCATGCTATAAGAATATCAATATGTTATGAATAACTATTACAAAGATAAAAGACTTTTGTCTCATCTTTAACATTATCACAGTCTGGAGAACCGGGTTGCTGAATACATTTTACATTCTATTTCATGCTTTGATAAATGGGATATATGTGGGAGAATTCCTCAGTATAACTAGCACCTTAGTTACACCTATTGCACCAATGTTCCCGCCATATGTGGTTGTGGCGTGTCCACATCCCATTAAGCCTGCTATGAGACTAAAGAAACCTTCCATGGCGATTCCACGATTAACGCTATGTGAAGGTGGGGGTGGAACATTACTCATTTTTGCGCATGCGTAGTAGTCACCGATGGAGTCGAGAGTTGATGTGATGGTTCCTATTAGGAATCCCGTAAAAACACTCGTACTGAATGACATTGGTCCAAACTGTCCTATAGCCAAGAAAAATAAAAATTGATGATAAATATGTAAATGTAAATATTACATATTAAAATCCATATCATATGTCAAATATAACAGCCCGAATTCAGGCCCCATATCAGCCCGAGGGCCGAAGGCCCGAGGTTTTACAGGCACAAGGGCTGATGTGACATATGATATGGATTTTAGTATGTAGTATTCTATTTATCATATATTTAAAATACTTAATATGCGAGTTCACATATGGTCGTTGAAGAATGTTTGTGCTTGTTAGTGACATTTTTCTTTAAAATTTAATAGAGCCAATTTTAGGTAACTGGAAAAAAATTAAGACCACAAATGTCATTAAAGAATTATTTTATATGAATATTTAAATAAAATCAAGTAAATTAACTTTTAAACTTAATACAAACATTACTTCCGGTTTGATATGGATTTTCGGCCCGCCGGTCCGATACGAGATATGGCTTTTCGGACCGGTCCGTGATATGAGGTATTGTGACGTCACCCGTATCACACCGTGCAGAATCGGTGTATTTACTACTAAGTATATGATAAAGTGTAATTATCAAACTTCATTGATTTAAAAGATAAACAGTCAAAATCATATCTAACAAGCTAATTCAGAGAACCCGTATTCCTGGAAATGGAAGTTTTACAGCCACAAACAGAATGTGTATTAAGTTTACCACCCTGACCTTTGACTATTTGACCTCAAAATGTACAGGGGTCTTTTGTGGGCCACAGAGACTTGAGATGTAAATGTCATTGCAAAAGCTCAGAGGTTTCTTCAGATATCTCATAGGAATTTAACGAATGTGTTTAAATTGGCGGTACTTTATAAATTCATGACTTTGACCTCTGCCTTCAAAATCATTTGGGATTTTTATTACACCATATGGAATTGCTGTTGAAAATATTATCGTAACACCGCAGAGGCTTCTCAAGATATCGCCAGGAAACAAAAGTGTCTCAGACAGGAAAAATTAACAGAAAGTCGGACAGCTAGGCAGCAAGACCGAAGGATGTAAAGGTAGACTGAAATTATTACCCAACATTTCAGCAAGGGATAAAAATATTATCCAATTCCACAAAAATACTGATTAAATTTATTGATTGCATGTTGTTTAACGTTCTTTTCGAGAAATGTTCACCAATATGACTTTGACACGGGACCTACATGTAGGTTTATACCGAAGGACCGCGGCCGGTCTTCACGTCCCATTGAAGGTTCGAACTCACAACTAAGGATCTTAATTCGGGACTCTAAAACAGACTCTCTAACTTCTGCAACACATCGGCAATTCCATGAAAATAAATTTAGTAAGTGTTGTGTCAAAAAGTTTTTAAGAGTTAATTTTTCAAATCGGAGATATTTCAAGGTCTACCTGGGTAAGGTATGCGAAACCAAGCGGCCTTTCTGATGGCACTTATTCCTGTATCAGTCCTGGCTAGCTTATCGTAAGGATCAAAAGCCCCTGATACTGTCATAATGCCGCATACCATCCAACCAACCAAAATTCCTATTAGAATCTGTTACAATTGGTCAAAAAAAGAACAATTTTCAGATCATATTCTCTGTTATGTCAAATAAACAATGTAATTTTTTTTTTCATATAGAAATCTCTTCATTATTACTAAATAATTTAATCTATTCATGCTTCATTTATGGATTTTATACCGAATAAACTTGGTGCAATGGAAACCATAAAATGTGAAATCCCTTCTTTCTCGTCCACATTGGTATAGGTGTGTTATGATGACTTAGATACAACGACAAAATCAGGGAAACTGCTGTTACCCTATTTCAAAAAGATCAGTGCTTTTTCATCAATTAAAATGCACTTGATTGAGAATCATTTAAAGCCAATGGTCTACAATTTATGAATGGAGAGAAATTGCAATTTTTCGACAGAAATCGTACCTTTTAACAGGACATAAAATAAGCTCTGATTGTTTAACTACTCATGTTTCTTTTCCATCCTATTCGTTTTTTTTTTCATTCATACAGGGAAGTAACTACATACTGGTAAAGGACTTCACACTTAGACAAATAAAATAATTTTTGTACTCACAGCAGTGCAACGCCCCAGTGAACGGAAGCAAATTTAACGCATGCTCTGACAATGAAAATGCAACTCAAAAATAGAGTGGGAACGATGGTTATTGGTCCAATGAATTTCAGAAGGAGGCTCACTAGACCTGTTGCCCCGAGTAGACATTGAAATGCTCCAGCAGCCACAAGACTTCCCTGTAACTAAAGAAGAGACACTCAAACGCAATTAATGTCTACAATGTTCAATTGTGTCAAGATGGAGAATATAACATGATTGTTTCCTTGTTTGGATTTTCCGACTTGTTCAGTATATACAATTGTCTATACGGAATTCTTAAAATTACTTGTATAATGAAACCTAAGACGATGCTATTATACTTAATTGTATATATTCCTAACCTCTCGTATGTTGTTTAGTATTTTTTCTCTATGGTCCGTTATGATAGATGTGTTTGCACTCGTAGAATTTAAATCTGAAATGTTAGATAAACGTTAGTGCTTCAAATTCAGGACATCGGAAGAAGAAAGCATCATATTTATCTATTGGTTGTGATTTTTTCTCTTCTAAAAAGCAAACATTCATAAAAAACGACCATAAATGGATTCAAAGAAACAATTTTACTTTTTTCTTCATGGTCGCAGGAACCGGAAGGAGGCACAGGGCAATCATTTTGCCGATATATAGATTACTAATAGTAAAAATTAATATTATACACGTTCCCTCTCAATCAAAACGTATGATGACCTTTTTAGTGCCCCTCAAATGTCAATCGAAAATGTATGGCTGCCCCTCTCCCCCATAACCTAATTTGCTTCCTATGGGCCCGTCCTTTGTGTGTATGCAGGGTGGGTGCGGGGTTAGGGAGCTTGGAGTAAACCATGGCATCCTGGTATTCATAAATACCTTTAATAAACTTTTCAATTGGATTGCCTTAATAACGAAACGCAATATTCATAAATAATTAAATATACATGTTTTCTGACAGCATGACTGTACAAAGTGTTGCATTGTCTGTGTAATATACATGTTGCAGCTTTGGAGGTTCCTTCAATGATCTAGTAAAACACCATGAATTTTAAAAGACCTATTTGAATAAAAAAAATTAACATTTTCCGTAATTGATGCTTTGAAAAATACCAGGGTTAATGTTGTCTGTAAAGTCACATCTCGTCTTATCCAAAACCTGCAGAGCTAGTAGAGGAATTAGATAGTCACTGGCTGCTCCTTGAAATAATGGAAGTCTACAGTGCATGGGGAGAAAAAAAAAATAAAATTAACATTATATTTTTTTATAGATGTGATCAACATATTTAAAATACAGGAATTCGAAACTGTCTTATTCATTTAAGAATTTGCATCCGTTTTACAAAGCAAAACATTAAATTGATTGTCTCTCAGTCTGTCCGTCTGTTATAAAACTTTTACCCTGGTCATAATTTTTGAATGAAAGATAAGGTATTTCACATTAACATTTCCTGTTACATGTCCTTTCTAAATATACTATGAGTTTTGCCCAAGTGACCTTTTAATTCAACCCCCCCCCCCCCCCCCCAATCAAAATCACTTGACATTCAGATCATAACTTTTGATAGGGAAAAAAGAGCCTTCATATCAAATATAACATAATTATTACCTGTGACTAGATCATTTTGAATACACTACAATATGTGACCCTGTGAACTGGACCTTGAAGCTTAAGATACTTTTCTATAATGTTATTTTACTCATAAGTTTTGATTGAGAAGATCAGGGATTTGTTATAATTTGATATTTGCATTTTATGCGATAATGCATTTCCCAGCATGTTATGTTTTTGTTTACCTGTTTGATCTTAATCTTCACACTTAATCTATTTTTTTTAAATAATTTAAAGTTTTGTAACTGCTATTAAATGAAACATAATGGGGCTTTCATATTTGACTCAATATGCCAAAATGATGGCATCCTATCCAATAAACACCAGAAGCGTGAAACCACTATTCTGTAAATATGCTTGTTAGTGTTGCAATGTAAATGCTATTACCTTGAACCGATCAGAGTCATAAACACTGTAACAACCCCCGACATCAAGAGAGTAGAACTCAGAAGTGTGGTTTTGATGTCTTCCATGTGAGCTGCACACGTCACATCAGCTACCAAAAGGGAGATTGCCATATTTCCGGACAGAGATATTAAAGTGTGCTACATGTAGTAAAAAATTGATTTAATTTTTTTATAAATCTTATGCATAATAAATATCCGAAAAAAAATGGAAATATTAAATTAACTTTCAAATGTTAATGTGTAGGAGTTTTCAGAGTTGAGATTTTGTATAAGTACATGTAAACGTAAGGCCATGCAAATTTAATTTGTTCGGCGTATATCTGATGAAAAAAAATTCGAGCAGGCAAGCGGTGAATAATATGACGACTTTTTTGTAGGCAAAACATGAAAAAAAGATGAGCAAATAATTATGTATTTTCTCTTCTTTGCTTGTAGAGTAAGCAGATTTTAAATACAAAAGATATAGCTAAAAAGAATAGAAATAAGGTCAGCACAGAATTCTCCAGGTGTTGTAAATTTAAACTAATATTGTTTTGTTAAAAGAAAAGCAATCGGGTCCAGCAAGAAGTTAAATTGTTGTGGCCTTATTGTATTATAATCGTTGCTATTTACTTCAATAAATAAGAAATGGCATAATCTAACACACTTGTAAAAAAAAAAATAAATGAATGGCAAAGATCTGTCATTAGTATACAATTACCAGAATGTTCACTCAATATTTACTTTCATTTTGTTCTCCTAATTTGGTAATTTTACAAGCAAGTAATATAAGCAATCTATATAATACCTGTAGACCACAAAAGATAGTCAGGTATACTGGAGGATGGTCGGCCACTTTGTACAGAAGTTGATTCTGTCGTTCATCTTTGATCTCCACAACCGAATCTCCTTCAACTAATCCTGTCTCATTCACTAATTTGTCCGATTCTAATGAATATTCGCCATCCTTGCCATACTTAATCATTTTCGAGTTTTTATTCGAGTCATCTTTAGATCCCATTTTTTTAAGTAATAAAAATGACAAAAAAATCTCTTCTATAAATAATTTCAAACGAACAACGTGATTTACTTACGTCCTATAATTTACACCAAGTCGACATCTAGATATTTTCCATATAATTTTAATCTAAAGATATGTAATGGCACGAAGTTTTCTGCAACCTAATGATATATGCATGTGCATATACATGTATACTTAAACGCAAAAGAAATTCAATAAACAGTAGTGTACAAATATTTGATTTTTCATCTAATGATTTCAAAAATGATTACAGTAAAATCAAATTTGGCTTTAAAACGTCAGGGATTTGATAAAAATCTGAAATGGTAATCTTTTAAGGATATCCGATTCTCAGCCAGAAAAGATAATTCCAACAATTAATAGTTAATTTGAAATGCGTCAAAATGAAGCTTGAAAATGAAATGTTTTCATGCAACAATTTTCATTCCATTCATCTTTATAAGATTCAAGGGTTTTGGAAGTCTTAGAAAAGGTCTTGTAAAAGTTGACATTTGTACCCTATAAAAGGAAAAAAAATAATACAGTTTTGGAGATTTGCTTAAATCCAGCCTTAGATACCAATGCATGATATGAAATAAGAAGTGATTTGTGGTGTCTTGTAATGATAGCAAAAGCCTTTTACACTATGTATTATAGAATACATGACCGAAATAGCAGACAAAAAATACCAAATAAGTATACATTTCATGACAATTTCTCTGAATGCCTGGATACCTATCGTTTTTTAACCTAAAATATATTTGTTGATCAATTTGCAATTAGAAAATGCATTGCTGATATTTCCAATTCGCTTTTTTCTGCAAAAATAGTGGAGATTTGACAATTTTCCCTATATAATATGATTAACTTTAATCTTCAACTTTAAAGAAATACTGTGGATAAATTTACATAAGTTTGTGATTTCAGAGATACTTTTATGAGTAGTTTTGGTTACTTAACTGCTAATTTTATAAACCTGAGGATCGGATTACCTTAACTTAAGAAAGGAGACTCTTAAAAGACCCCCCCCCCTCATCCATTTTTAAAATTGCAGCGTCCAAGATTGCTATGCACAACAATTGTTCCCATTTGTCGTCTTATCATTTCAACTTCAGACTGAAAATTATTTTAATTAATTAAATTCATTATTTACCGTATGCTGGACATAAAAAACTTAGAAATCACAGGTTAATTTTCTTCATTTTTTTTTTTAAAACCAACACTTGGTGTGTATGAATGATGTTAACTTACTCAGCAAAACTTTTTGTTTTATATAATACCGCATATTTGAGTTCATCTCATAATATGCGTCGTTATCAAAGCTCTATATCCTTTAATTATTTGTCATCATTTACCTCCTTTTTGTGAAAAATCGAATAAATGAGATAAGCCGGAATTTATTTATCCATCCATACAGTGTCAGTACGTAGTCACTAGGTTTACGGGTTATCTCCCCTTTTCTATGCATCAATGAAAGTGAAAGGTGGGTGATGAAAGTATCCGATTTATTTTTCTGTATTATGAAATATTTTATCATACTTTCCAGTTTTTAAAGTCAAGTTTCAGTCAAAGAATTATTATGGATTATCTTATCAACATTGATATTGCTCGATGGCAAATATTTCATTGGATTGAAACAGATCGATTTGCCTCCTGTCCATACTTTAAACACTGGCACATATGCACATGGTACAAGATATACAAGTATGGTAGTATTAACCAACTTCATCAGTATATTTTGAATGAAGAAAAGCGTACTTAGTGAAATATTACTAGTATTTAAACAAAATGAGCTAATCTAAAAATAGGTCTGAACTTCAACTTTGTTCGGTCCATGTTATTCAAGGTCATTGATCAAACATCCGTACACATGGTAGCCTATATTTAGATACTTACATGTAGGTCCCTTGGCCTATCTTTAGGGGTTTAGAAATGGGAATATACATGGTTATAATTCTTACAATATGAGTATGGTTTTGTAACTTTGGGATTGTTGTATTTATCAGTTTATTCAAAATATTTTGTGACAAAAAAAAAAAAAAAAAAAAAAAAACAACCTTTTCCTTAAAAAAGTGAATAAATAGAAAACGTACAGATTGAGAATAAATTAAAGTTTGATAAAGCTATTGTATCATGTCTTTAGAAATGTTATTTACCCTGATTCACATAGGAACAGAACTCTAATTAAAGGATATAAATTTTCAATCAAGGCCATTCAACTTTAACAATGGTCCAAAGAGAGGCATGAAAGGTATGGAATTGCAACAAAGGCAGTAATCAATTGTGAAATAAAATATTTCTAAGTAAAATAAAGAACAAGTTGTGGTGCTTTTGAATATTATATGACAATTAATGCTTTTTTATGTATATGAATTTAACATGAAATAAGATGTGTATTTGTTTATACATATTTACAGTTGTACATGTACACATGCTATGACGAAACTCAAGGTAAGTAAATACGAATGATGACTAAATAGATTTTGAGTACAAAAATTTCAGTTGGATGGAAGCATTGCAATGAACAATTCAGGCTGTAAAAGCTGGGGGCATAGGTTCTATGCACCTGAGTTGAATTGTACATTGTCTGTCAAATCTACATATTAATAGTTATATTAGGACCACCAGCATCCTCATCTATTCGGATATCTCTTCTCTTAGGGGGCTTGACAAGGAGGACAACTTCAGACTCAACCAGAACAATAACAATGTGTGCATAGTAATTTAGGGCCTCAATGGTTCACTAGTTGATATAGATAGGATTCCCCGAATTTTATTTTAATTAAGTACATGTAGATATCTATTATCTAGCAAGTTTAGCTATTATTCTGCTGGTTAATATATGTGTATATAAGTGTTCAGATTAAGTAAGAGGGGGTCAAAGGCTTAAATAAAGGAAATAAATGAAGGTCAGGCCGTTTCTTCATTTGGAAGCCGTCTTCAGTGTATATGAACATAATTATGAATTTTTCTAACAGGGCCTGTACCTTATTTGAGTAGATTTGATGATATCATGATAACACAATAAAGACACATACATTTAATGACTTCTCACCCCTTAACTGCATAAAGGCGTTGTATTTTATATAGTTGTGTTCAGTAAATGAAAAGTTTTGTACCATCTTAAGTTAACATGAAAAATCAGGTAAACTTATTTTTACTAAATTAATTATATAAACTATTTCACAAATGTCGATAATTCACACAGAGATTAATTTTAGCACGGGCTTTTATTTCCTGACAATGTTCTTTAAGACTTATACAAGAAGAAAATCTTTAGGTATTTAAATATTAATTCTACAAAAAAAAAAGACTATAAAATAAATAATAATTTATAGGCTAATCTAATCAAAATTATTAGTAAATTAACATTTATTCCTTCGAGATATCTTTCTCAACAGGGAAAGTGAACCTCAAAATAGGAAATGCAACTTCAAGTCCCTGAACTTTTACCAGTTTTAACCAAGTAATTCAGTTTCGCAAAGGGATGAGGGACAAATTTAGGAGTTCTTTAGGTGCTAAAGTCAATGCAGGCTCATTTGAATAAGGCTCGCAGTGCTGGTCTTTCTATGTATTTTCCTTATGGCATATGCTGTATGAATGGTCATAATAATAAATAAATCAACAAATAAATAAAATAAAGTGGGTTATAATGAGACTTCCAGTATAAGGTTTAAAATGGGGCTTAAATTTTTGTCAGTGTTGGTTTTTGCTGTGTCTCTACGTTATTAGATACAAAAGATTTGCTATTTTCACACAGATAAAACTTGCTTCAGTTAAAATTCTATATTCACAAATTTCAAACTCATTAAGGATAAATTATTTAGGTAACTGGTTTTATTCATGTGGAATAATAAGATTTTAAAAATAAATAAATAAATAAAATGAAAGAACCGCATAAGGCGAGATTTCCTAACTGCTTAGAGATACAAATTGGGGGGGGGGGGGGTTAGATACATATTTTACCACAGTCTAGATTATAATCTGATCCATTTCCTACAATATTTTCTTTTTAATAAGTAGGCGCTTACTGTTAGCTTACACATATGCATACCTTGGGGGCATTTCTTCATTGAAAATATTAGTTCAAACCCAGTTGCCATTCGCATGTAATATGGTATGTGTTTATCCCTCATGTGAGCAGTTAGCTGAATTAATTTCTATTTACACATTAATCTCATATGGGATTAAGATGCTTTAGTCGGTGCATATGTACATGTAGTTTTCATCCATGCATCAGCTAATGGGTACAAATACAGGTTACTCCTACATGTATAAGAGCCTCGGTTAACGTCCCTACGCTCCTTATGTACCTCGGAGCCAAGCCAAAAGTATCTTGTCGTCAACCTCTAGCATGCTGGAGTAAAATACAGGTTAGCTAGGGGATACAAATCCACAAGTGAGTAGGAGTTAACGTTTCATAGTGCTAAGATTAGATAAACTTCGACAGCATTTTAGGGTATTATAGAAAGGATAGGTTTACACTAACTTAGCACATTAATTTTCATGCTCTCTATCATAAATCTATTTTTTACAGCCTTAAAAAGAATTTTGAAGTCTATATTTTTAATAACCCTTCCATAGCATATTTTTGCAAGAGGAAAGGGGGGGGGGGGGGTCCCTACCCAAAATTCCCAAAGTAGGAAGCTTAAGGTGTAGTTAGATCATGCATGCCTTTTTGATAGAGTATCAGCTGGAAAGGGATTTAGAATAAAGGTTTTAGTCATATGTTCCTTGCATGTCTTGTGCAGTCCATCTACATTAACAAATGCTTAGGGGTAAATACAAAGTACTGTAAAATCACATATTTTCGTGGGGTCAAATTTTCGTGGTTTGAGGAAAAAATGTTGGTTCGTGGGGATTTGATTTCGTGGATGAAGAACTTTTTAGTAGTTGTGCATATGAAAATTTACATTTCGTGGTGGACATAAATCCGTGGGTGTCTTCATACCACGAAAACAACGAAAATTAAACCCCCACGAAAATTAGTGATTTCACAGTACCCTATTGTGTTTCTTGGCTTGAAAGGTGAATAGTATATACAATATTTAATCAATTTTGCATGGTCTTCGGAAGAGCTTGGTTTAAAAAATAAGTAGTACTTAGATAAGCTCATCCTTCAGAACTGGCAAGATACATTACAAAATATCACAAAACATGTTCTGCGCTTGACAGAGTGGGAATGTGAACACTTAAAATTATTGTCTATAATACAGGAACAACTTAATCATCCTGAAGGGGGGGGGGGGTTAGACAGTATAGGTGCTCATTCATCTTGTTTGTAATCTTTGCAGGAAAGTATATTACAATTTTTTATTTTCAAATGACCAAAAAAATGATATGAAATAAAATTCAAATGGATAAACCAATAAATTAAAAAGGGGGGGGGGGGTAAATCTAGATAAGACATATTTTCTACTTTATTTTCTTACATTAGTCCAGTTAGTTCTTTCTTTCTGACTAAGTAAAATAGCTGGATATGAGTAATAGAAATAGAGACCCAAAGCAATACCACTTCGAAAGATATAAAATCAGGGAAAAGGGGGGGGGGTTAAGGCACGATAAATTTGAAGGGTAACCAGATTTTAATGCAGCATAAATCTACGGGTTGGAAATGTGAGAGAGTGATGTTCACGATGGATGGGTTGCTGAGGGTTTTGAGTAGGCTAGGGGTCCATGGTGGGTGGTTAAATTGAAGTTGCCTACCCCCACCAGGTGGCGGTGGGCACCTACGGTGCCCATGTGGCGAAATCGTCACCTTCAATTTAACCATTGAACTGTTGATTTTGTTGACTTTTTGTGGTTGATGTTGATATATGTGATGGTTGATGTTGATATATGTGATGTTGACTTTGAAAATTATATCTTATATAATGTAAATCTAAAGCAAAATAATATAATTAAAAGACAATTTGTGTTAAATGTGTCCGTAGCACGATTGAGGTCAACCCAACGTGCTACTTTTCCCGTCAGGGAGGGCACAACTATGTTGATGTTGGGGGTATGCCATTTTGCCGGCTGCCCCGCTGTTGTGTAGACCACTGTGGACAATACCTGCCAACTCGAATAAAACATTAAACTTAAATACTTAGCATTTGTTTATTATATATAGGTCTTTGATAATTGATTTTTATTCATGTTTTTTTTTCAATCAGATTTATAAGGATTCATAAGGAAAAAGCTTTGTGACAAAAGAGACAGAACAACTTAGAGATTGAATTTTACATAGAGAAGCATATTGCATAAATATTGTGCAAGGGCAACTTCACATAAAAAAAATATACAAATATCATATAATTTTCAAATAAAAAGATTATGGACATGAAAATCATGTGAGCCACTTTTCCAATACTTTGCTTTGTTTATGATAAAAGCTTTAAACAATGTAATCTCTCATTGCGATGGAATGAACGGCAAACGTCTGAAAAGCTTTGACTCTTTCAATATTTTGGGTAGAGGAATGTCGTATATTGTGATGTCGTCATCAAATTCTTCTCCATCCTCGGCCTTCTCACCAATCATTCTTTGCCAAGCTTCAATTCCTCGTTCTTTCAAAGAACCTTTGTATAAAACAAGGACATTCTTTAGTGAAGTATTCTAAGCTAAAGCATGCTTACAAGTAAGAGTTAAGTGTTCAAGAAGGGACTTGATCCTTTAGCTGACTCTACCTGTTTTTAACCGCTAAAATTTTAAAGTTTATTGATTTAAACTTTATGTGGGTTAAAGTTTCCTTAAAATGTATTACCGCAAATGCAGAATTTTTAGCGAGGATTTAATTTAACGATCTAGATTGCTAAAATCGAGTATCGCGTTTTATTTATACATGTAATTTCTTCTTTGGTGAGCATTTTGAAAACGCCAAAATTACTTGTCACTTAAATTTTAATACCAAATTTTAAGGACAAATCGCTGAAGCTGCATCTCGGTAAAATTTCCACTTTTTCGAAATTCTTGCATACCTCTGACGGTGTTATCCAGAAAACAAGCCGTAATACCCCCGCATAAGTTAGGATTAACCATTAGCATCCTTATAACACTATCAGCTGATGGAGATCCTAAAAATAGAACATCAAAGTCTTCAGTTAATATTGGAAAAAGTGATTTTTATTAAATTCATATTTTCGTTAAAATTTGGAAAATATTTTGGCAACTATGAGCTACAGTTTTGATTTTATTGGACTCAAATTCATTTCATCTGGCAAGCGAAAAAAAAAATCATTGTTAGTTTATAAATTGGAAAGAACAAGTTGATGCAAACCTGTTTGAATAGCATCGGGGTTGGTCTCTAACCAGTATGGAATCATGAGCCCGAACAAAATGGAAGTTCCAATAATGGCAAGATTTCTGGACGAACTTAGTGAGACAACTTGTAGATTAGACAGGACAACGCCATTAAACATTCCAAACATCACAATCAGCGCTCCACCCAGGACTGGGTAAGGGATGGTTAGAAAAATCGCAGATATTTTTCCAATGAGTCCAAAAACGATGTATATAAAACCCACCGTGATGAAAACGTCTCGGCTAGCCACCTGTTTGAAAGAAAAGCAACCGCGGCATTTGAAGAAATAAAGGTTTTGGATCGAAGTAGTAATTCAATTGCAAAAATCAATTCAGGTATTTTTTTATTTTACTTTTGCTAAATGTTTTCTTATAACCAATATTATATATATATATATATATATATATATATATATATATATATATATATATATATATAAATTTGAAAATTTCACAGTGTCCGGTTTTTATATATGATTTTATATGATACTTTTGTAAATAAAGTAACCATTGTTTGATTTTTATATATATATATATATATATATATATATATATATATTTATTTTGTTTTCAAAAAGTATCGTAAATGCTTTCAGTGCAGTGTTTATGAAACAAGCATATCCAACTCATCATACTTTAGTTACTCCAATTGCACCAATATTTCCCCCAAAGGTAGTTGTTGCATGTCCACAACCTAGGAACCCCGCTATAATACTACACAGCCCTTCAATAAGGATTCCACGGTTTACACTGTGAGTAGGGGGCGGTGGCACATTGGACATTTTTGCGCATGCGTAATAATCACCAATGGAATCGAGGATTGATACAATGGTCCCTATCATAAATCCCGCAAAAACACTCGTGCTGAATGACAGGGGACCAAACTGACCTACATTAAAAGAAGAGATAAATAACAATCATGAAATGGCTAAATATCTTTCATGTTTTTAAAACAATGGTAGAGAAAAAAAGATTTGAAGGAAATTGGTTGGTGGATTATTAGAATAATTAACTATGACTCGGGACAAGCCCTCACCACAGTTAGAATAAGTCCCATATACTTGCAATGTAGCAAATCGGAGCGGATCCGCTCCGAAATGATTTGAAGAATACAAAAAGGCCTGAAAATAACTACCAAATTATCCAAAACAAATCTATTTGAGGATGTATCAGCCTTTTATTCCCAAAAATATTCTCCACGAAGACAAACATTCAATTTTTTTTCTCAACGCATTTTTCTCTTTTAAAGTTCACTTGCCTTTTTTACAGACGGAAGTCTCTGGATTGTTTGCAGTAAATGCAATGCAATGAGTACGAGTTATCTTTTGCTACATTACAAGTTCATGGAACAAATTCTATCATTAAACCAGGTCCGTAGGATTGATTGATTGATTGTATACTGTTTAACGTCCCTCTCCAGAATATTTCACTGATATGGAGACGTCACCATTGCCGGTGAAGGACTGCAAATTTAGGCCTATGCTCGACACTCATAGCCTTTGAGCAGGGAGGGATCTTTATCGTGTCACACCTGCTGTGACACGGGGCCTCGGTTTATACGGTCTCATCCGAAGGACCGCCCCATTTAGTCGCCTTTTACGACAAGCAAGAGGGTACTGAGGACCTATTCTAATCCGGATCCCCACGGGGCTGGTCCGTAGGACAATATCATTTTAACAATAGATCGCTCCATCTAATTGGTGAAGACCTCGGTAAATCAAGCCTATATGGTACATAGTCACCCACTTTATATTAAGGTGATACATGTAACCCTCAACAACTTCGTCTATTGATTTAGTGATTGTATATTAACGTGCTGCAAATTTTGTCCTATACCCGGCACTCAGGATATAGAGCAGGGAGGGATCTTTTTTCGTGCCAGCACCTACTGCGACACGGGACCTCGGTTTATACGGTCTCATCTGAATGTCCCATAGTGGAATTCGAACTCGCGACGTAAGGATCAACTTCTTACTTCTCAAATATTATGAGATACGCATTGAAACTCCTCCTAAGAAAGTGATATGGTTGAACATACATGTACATCAGTGAAAAGTACTTTGAGAAGGAAGAAACTAGTACTAGTAATCAGATTACACATTGTGTAAAGAAAAGGTCTGATTTCAGAGTAAAATAGGTTGCACAGGTACTGAATAAAACAATTTAACTGTATAATGGCGAGCTTGATTATATCACATTTCCATATCACCGGTACGTGTATATAGAATTACAAATCTATATTACCGGAGAATGGTACAATTTATCTTTTAAAAAAATAGGTGAGCTAGCACCGTAGCAATATTTGAACACAGAAAGGAAGATCCGTGATCAAGTGATTTATTTTGCTGAATTCTTTAATTTTTATCGAGGCTGGAGAGTGATAAAGTTATTATTGTTTTGTGAAGCGTATTTTATAGACACATAGGTAAAGAAACAAGGGGTGTGGGGTGGGGGGTGACCTATTTGAGTTTTGGTGCAACGGAACATATATGACCTTTACTGGAGAGAGGGGGTGGGGCTCTATATAATATGAAGAAGATGCCGATTGAGACACTGCATGTATATATGAGCTGATTTAAAGAAGAGAATTTCTTGGCAATTTAGCAAAGAAAATACATGGGAGTTGAATGGAATATAGAAAATAACTCAAAGTGTATGTTGTATAAAGAAATGAGTTCCGAATGTGGAGATGTGAAGTATCTTGGTCCTTTGGGTCATCTTTGTCAAGATATGTTAGGTTAAAAGCCATACACATTTTTTAAACACAAATAGTGGATTTATTCGTTATTTTTAGTGTAAATTCTTGCTTCTGTTTCTGGAATTTGTAAGATTGGCTGAATTGACCAATCAGAAATTAGAATCTATCTTTGGTTGTGCTTAGATTAAAAAAAACTCCCTTGTCATTCTTTAGAACAATCAGAATTTAAAATATTATAGATTATATGAAATTATCTTTAAAGTGTAAGCTACACAATAAATGAACAGTTATTTCATGCTACAACATGATACAACGAAATTGTTATCGTACGGTCTATCTGTAGTAGTTTTCACAATTTTCCCAGAATGCACCACCATGGCGGCCGAGCATGCGTATTCAAGGAATTTGGACTAACGTAGTTGCTAGCGCTCGAGAGCACTAGCAAAAATGAGGGCGACTGGATTGTTAAGAAATTTTCAGACAAAAAGCAGGAGAAAAGGCGACGTCTTTTTAGTGAAGAGTATGATGTTAGAAGCAAATATGAATCTTGAATCATTTATCTACATTTTATGACAAATGAAATCTCATACGTTTATGTAGGGACCTACATGTATATACTGAAGTTAGTGTATAGGTCCCTCATTAATGTAAGAAAATATCGGTTGTTTACCCGGATAAGGAACTCGGAACCACGCAGATTTTCTGACAGCCTCCAATCCGGTATCAGTTCTGGCCAACTTATCATCTGGGTCAAAAGCTCCCACCGCTGTCATGACGCCACAAACAAACCAACCAACCAAAATCCCAATCAGAATCTGTCGGGAAACTTTTTGTGTAGTTTTGTTGAAAAAGAAGGTACAGTATATGCAGGTGCATCACAAATAAAGTTTATTTTAGATTTAATATTTTTGGAGGAATAGATAAATGATAAAAGATCTTACTGAATAAACTTGATGTAGTGGAAACCAGAGAATGTGAAACCCCTTCTTTCTCGTCCACATTGGTATTGGTGTTTTGCGATGGCTGAGATACAAGGATAAAATCAGGGAAACAGCAGTTACCCTAAGTCATAGAGAAAAGTGTTTATTTATACAGGAAAAAACTTGTAATTGTAAAAAAAAAGTAAGTTTCGTCTTTCGATAAAATGCATAGCTTGTGCTACTAAACTGTCAATCACTTGATCACTTACAACAGTGCAACTCCCCAGTGTACTGACGCAAATTTGACGCATGCTCTGACGATAAAGACGCAGCTTAAAAATAGAGTTGGAACGATAGTGATTGGCCCTATGAATTTCAGAAGGAAGCTGACCAAACCTGTTGCTCCAATCAAAAATTGACAAGTTCCAGCGGCAACGAGGCTTCCTTGTAACTGAAAATCGGCAAAAAATTAAATATACATGTAATTTCTTTAAAACATTGTGTATTATTTGCACAACTAAGCCCCTTTGATCAAGAATCATCTAAAGCTTATCAGTCAAAATCTTTATTTTATAATAACGTTGTAAAAATTAAATAGATCAAAGTTGAAATATTATTCAAAATTGCTTCAAAAAAGTGCATTTTTTCCTGCGAATTAAGGGATTAATTCAATCATTTTCTAAAATTAACATTTATCAACATTTATTTGTTGAAATTTCGACGTACATATAAGTTTGTGTCGAATATATGATCCTGAGGCCAGGATATATCAAAATCATATATATATATATATATATATATATATATATATATATATATATATATATATATATATATATATATATATATATACAGTCAAACCGCTATCTCGATTTCGAAAGATTCGAAATATTGAGGGTAAAATAGAGGAACATTTAGTCGTTTGGACTTCTATTGTTGACAGTGTATACTGCAGTAAAAGGGGTATCAATGATATTTTTCATGTCAATTGAAACACAAATCCCCCCTTTTTTGTTTTGAAAAATTGTCTTTTTCTGGGATGTCTATTTAAGAAATAAAGTCCGCGTTTTCATGAATGTTGCATAATAACCTCCGAGGTCGAGAAATGTTGTTTGAAAGATAAAAGCCGAGGCGTTAGCCGAGGCTTTTATGTTTCAAACAACATTTCGAGACCGAGGAGGTTATTCTGCATCATTCACGACAACAAGGACTTTATTTCTATTCTACTAAGGGCGATAAATACGGCCGAATGTTTCCTCTATAGAGAAACGAATTAGGTCACCATGTCTCGATTACGCTGTTCTATTTAACACCAGAGATAAATTTTGTTGACTTACCTATATATGGAATGCAGACGATTTGAGCTTTCGTTGCATTAAAAATAGTCTTTTTAAATTACGGTAGGAATATGTATTATAACGCGATTTAATAATTTTCTGACCATTTTAAACTGTGATACTTACATCTTGAATGTTGCTTAGAATGTATTCTCTATGGTTTGCTGTAATTGTAGTGTTTACAATTGTGGAGTTTGATTCTGAAATAATCCCAAATGTCTTTCTTAAAAATTTTACCATTTCAATAAGGAATTGTGCCACTAAAAAACTTATTTAAAGAAAATTGAAACAAAACATTTTGACTATTAGATTTTATGGAACCTGTTCAGGTCTGTACAATATATGTTCATAAATATTTATGATGTCTTTCTTGGTAAGTTACAGAAAGGTTTTCATTTTTTAAAAGAAAATTACCAGTCGGGAAACTTTTCATACCCATGATGAGAAAGCTTAATATTTACTTTAAATAATAATTGTAATCATCAGCTATTTTAAAGGGGGCAAATATAATCATTTCCATATCTTTACAGTTTTCCAAATCATTAAAACGATTTAACTATAATTGATATACATTAAAAGATACATACATTGAATACTTAGCATAAGAAATACTTTAAACTAAGAACTAAAACTGATCTTAAATCTTTACCGGAATCGAAGTCGTCATTAAAACTGCACCTCGTCTTGTCCAGAACTTGCATAGCTAACAGAGGGATAAGAAAATCTCCTGCAGCTCCTTGAAATAGAGGAAGTCTATGGAAACAAAATAAATATCCATGAAAATATTAATTCCTGAAAAATAAACACTCTTAAAAATTACACATGATTCATTTTATGTTGTTTTACATGTATATCGCGTTCGAGAATTTTGCAGTTATTTAGAAACGCCATCATATACCGGAAAAGCTTCCAATTTTGACCTTTACTTTGCATCCGGGGTCATTGGGCAGTGAGGAATCTTTAACGTGCCAACACATGCTAAGACACAGGACCTCGAAGTTTAATTTCTTATTTTGAAGGAGTCGCAACTTTCAGGTCATGTGCCAAGCGCATATAGCAAAGGAGCAGTTGCTACCCATTTTTAATAAACTTATGTTAGTGTCGGTCGTAACTCGAATTCACTACCTCTCGTTTACGGAGCTAAAGCTTTACAAACTAAACATGGTTTTTACCTGGAACCGACGAGACTCATCAATAAGGTACAGACACCCGACATCAAAAGGGTAGAACTCAGAAGTGTGGTTTTAATGTCTTCCATGTGAGTTGCACATGTCACATCAGCTACCAAAAGGGAGATCGCCATGTTCGCGGAAAGGGAAATTAAAGTGTGCTTGCAAAAGAAAGAAGACATTTTCTTAAATGAAAAAAAAAAGATTAATCGAACATTATAATCTGTCTAATTTATAATCCACTGAGGAATGTTTTGTCGGAAAAGGAAAGGCGTTAGTTTCAACAAGGGAAAAAGTATGTTTACACGGTTCTTTAAAACAAGGAAAAAAATATTTAATTTAAAATAGGTTCCGAATGAAATACGTTTCACTTTTTTCCCTTAAATACATTAAATGTTCAATATATTGAACTTTGCTTACGTGGCAAAGGTAGTTTTAAAAGTTGTTATTAATAGTTTAACGGAACAGAATTATCTCTTTAGTAAATTTCAATGAAACGCCAGAATGTTCTTAAAATTTATATTTTGTTATTTTGCTTACAATTTGAAATACATATACAATACCTGTAGACCACAGAAGATTGTCAGGTATATCGGGGGATGGTCGGAGACTTTGTACAAAAGTTCGTTTTGTCGTTCATCTTTGATTTCCACTACGGCCTCGCCTTTCTGCATTCGTGATTCATCCATTAATTTTTCCGAGTCTAACAAATGTTCATAACTAGTGTCCACTCCATTGTTTCTAAATTTGTCGTCATCTTTTAATGACATTTTTTTCAACTTGGAAAGCAAGATGGCCCCCTGATTTTTGCAAGAAAGTAACGACACGCAAAATGACCGGATAGATACGTAGATAGATTGTAGAAAGCAGTCAGTTGGAGTAAATTTCTAATGACATGCAACTGCACGAATGTTTGCTCCCGTTCAAAAGCGTGATTAAGAAAATCTTTGTTAAATGATATATTAAGTCCCTAACACACCGATGTACTTATGCCAGTATGCTTAATGGAAAGAGGTTGTGCAGAAAACTGATTGCACATTAATCAGCTAGAATGCACATTTTCAGCTCATTGATATACGCCCTAATCCTGGACAGAAACATCCAAGTAGCTTTAAATATTTCACAAAGATGATGACCTGAAATTATACGAGTTTCCATACGACACAACTTTCTCAACCGTACATTGTATATATTGAACATAGGGGTCGGAAGCAAATTGAAAGTGGGGGCTAATTGAAAGTTGAAGGGGGGCTTAACCAACAAAAATAGGTAAACCCCCATTTTCAGTGCCTATATACTATGTATATATTTGCAAAAAAAGTTGGGGGCTAGGCCCTGCGAACCCCCCCCCCCCCTCGGGGTTCCCATGCCCATGTTGGAAACGCGGTATATGCATTTGGACATACATATGTATATGTACCAGGCAATTGGTTGTCATGTCAACAACTTCGAATGCGTTTATTACGATTTCTGCGTTTCTAAAGCTACATGTTTATTTGTGTCGAATAGTATAACACACTCTAGCTGCAATAATATAGCCCTCTCCTTTCAAACTGATACCCCCCCCCCACACACACACACACCACCAACACCGCCACCACGAAAAAAAAGAGAGGGATACATTATTACAGCTAATACGGCACTTATTCACAAAATTAAAGGAAGATAATTATAAATTTTTTAAAAATCGCCTTTTTAACTCGTTTTTATTTAAAAATATTTATATATATAAAACAAACCAGATATACAAGTGCTTGTTAATAATATTGTGCAAAAGTGCTGCATGTATTTCTAGAGACCTCATTGATTTGAAATAATATTTTAAAAAATTAATTCTTAATAGGAAGATGTTTGTATTAAATGAAGTTTACATTAGTACTTTAAAAAGTTTACAACTTCTTTAAAATTCCTTTTTATTTACTAAAAATATATTATAATGATTTTCAATCAATTGCAAAATAGGTCAAAGAATATATACTGAAAGGAAAAAGAAACGCAGGGTAGAATAATATTCGATATTTTTTTAACCGCATGATCGAAAATTACGAACAGCCCGTTATGCTGAAATTATACCATGTTTCCTACTAATGTTGATGTCCCTAGCATAGTAACTAGACAGTGATTCCTTAAATATCTAATTTTTACTTGAAATAACAATCTTAAAATAAATTGAAATATCGTCTAATTTAGTAGATTTGAAATGCACGAGGCCCCATGACGTCAAAATTTACTATAAAAAATAGTCCCATAATAACACGAAAAAAATTTTTGATGCAAACCGAGATAGAAAACGGATAACCTGATAAACTGATAACACGATACGATAGGATACACACACGATCGATAGGATACACGCACGATACGATACGATACACGCACGATACGATAGGATATACTCACGATACGATTGGATACACGCACGATACTATAGGATACACGCATAATCGGACGCGGTAGAATTGTAAAGAGTAACGTTGTGGGCACTGTTCAACAAGGGCAGAGTGCCCCAAAAAAAATTAAATATGGCAAAGTTTAAAAGAAATATGGTGGAAATGGCGTACAGGAGTAGAATAAGTGGTAGGAGGATAATGTATCTGAAGCTTTTATTTACGCTGTAATCTTGAACTAAGATGATAAACACAAGTCTTTGTGGCCAGTTCGGTTGAAATTGGTCCAGTGGTTCTGTAGAAGTCAAAAATGTGAAATGTTTACATACGACACACGACAGAAGGACACTGGACACTCTTTGATAAGAGATCACTTGGCACTTCGGCTCAGTCGAGCTTAAAATGTTACATATATATACAGCTTCCTGGAGTTAAAGAAAAAGTGCGACTTCTTGTAAAAAAAAAACGACGTTGCATTAATTAAGAGATAAAGTCCGCGTTTTCGTGAATGTTGCAGAATAACCTCTGAGGTCGAGAATTGTTGTTTAAAAGATAAAAGCCGAGGCGCTAGCCAAGGCTTTTAGATTTCAAACATTTCAAGACAGAGGAGGTTATTCTGCATCATTCACGACAACAAGGACTTTATTTCTATTCTACTAAGCAGCTCTAACATACGACCGATCGTTTCTCTATGGAGAAACGAATTAGGTCACCATGCTGTGAAAACACGTACTGTTCCATTTAGCACCAGATTGTAAATTTGTTTGCTTACTTGTGAATAGAATGCAGACGATTTGTGCTTTCGCTGCATTAAAATTAGCCTTTTATCAATTATAAATCTGTTTCTAACACATATATATATATATATATATAGATAATTCTTTTTGAGTATACAATAACACAATCAATTTCCTATTTTACCACTTTATAACTGAAATCACGGAGTTTAAATAGGGCGTAAGGAAGTCTATGAAACAGCCCAGCTTTACCTTAAAACCTACATTCATCAGCTACTTTCTGCAATATACAGTGTTTTAATTGCAAAAGAAGACACATCGATGTGGTCTAAATATGTATTTCATTCTTAAATCAGATGTACATTTCAACTGCACAGGCTCGATACAAGTACGTGTTTCTGATAATTTTTTGATGACGTTCGTTATTTTTTGAAGAAGAATGTCCGCGGTATTTCTTTGATCTCGGTAATAATTGTAGTAGAATTTTAATTAACATTTTTTATTAGGAGTATGTGCATAAAAGCAGGAAAAATATGAAAAGCTACATTTGAAAAACTAAAGTAAATTCACAAAGAAAATGAACATGTAAATAAAACGTATTTTATAGTCGATGTAAAAAAGGAACAATATATAAAATACTTCATTAGTGTTTATTCATTTTAAAAGCAGGAACCAGTGTGTGTCCTGGGGGGGGGGGGCTTTTATGATCAATACTGAAAAGAAATAAATGGTTTGAAATCTGTTTTTGTTGGTATATGAATCAAACATTTATGTTGAGCAAGGGTGCCTTTTCCAAAATTGTGAAACATGTGACCCTAGGGTCAAAGGTTCCTGTGAAGTGGGGGCATTACTGAGGGATAGTGGAAATGTATACTTTCCTTGATTGCCTGCTCTGTTTCTGGGTATTAAGTTATCAGAGAAAGCATCCAAAGTTTATAGTTATAATAAGCAATGGTGCCTGTATCAAAATTATGAATTTCATGGCCTTTGGTTTAAAACATTAACCAAATTCATTCGTTACAAAATTGTTACAATACTCAGATGACCTATAAAGTCCGTGGGCCTCTTGTTTTCTAATGTGCTATATTTGTCCCCGTGGCATTCATGTTTGACTTAATTTTGGAATATTTTCAAGTGTTGCTAACGACATCTCAATTTTACTAAGACACCGAAAGCAGGGGACAGCAATTCTTTGAATTTGCTTGTTTAAATCAATTTGGAATCTGATAGGTGGTGAGTCTGTAATACTTAATTCAAATTTCTAAAATGATTTTGAGTTTTAGAATGTTGATAATAATAGTTCACATTTCAAACGTTCAAAAACTCAAACTGATTTGGTATATGGAATTTAATATTTTAGTTCAAAAATCTAAATTTTCAAATTTCCAAACAGGTTTTAGTATTTTAATATTCTAGATTTTTTACCTTAAATATCCAAAATTAAAATTTCCCAAAACACATTCTGTATTTTTAACTTTTTAGTTTTTAATCTATCGTTTCTTCAGAAAGTTTACGCTCAACAATCTAAAAGTCAATAACATTTTTCGTCTTTTGATTATTTAGAATTTACTTCAAACTTCCAACTTTAAAACGTTTTAGATTTTAAGAAATTTAGAATTTTGATTTAAACACTCAACTTTTAAATAACCAAAGCACTTTTAATATTTTGAATTTTTAGAAGTTTACTTCAAATATCCAAAATATCAAATTACAAACCTGGTTTTAATTTTGAAACTATTTCAAAAACTCATTTGGTTAATCAAAAAATCTTTTATATATTTGGAATATTGAACTGATGATCGAATTTCAAATCGGGTTTGGACATTTGATACTTTTGATGTTTAAATTGAAATTCTAAAAAAAAAAAAAAAAAAAAAAAAAAAAACATCAAAGCGTTTTTGATATTTGAAATTAGAACATTTGAATCAAAATTCAAAATTATAAAAACAATGAAATTTTAGGATCACTATGCAATTTTTATGAAAATCTTTATACATATAAAAACCCTCAGAAGGAGGAAATCACAAACTATATATCGAAAACAGACATCTCATCAAAATTGACAGACAGTGAAAAAAGTTATTGTGATGATATTCCCACAATAAAAGAATGTGAAGAAGCTATCAGAAATATGAAAAATAAGAAATCACTAGGGTTAGACGGGATACCAGTAGAGTTTTATAAATTATTTTGGAATGATATAAAAACATACTTTTACGATGCCTTATTAAAATCATTTGAGACTGAAGAGTTAACTGGGACACAAAAGTTGTCAATCATAAGTCTCATTCATAAAAAAGGCGATAAATCTATTCTAAAAAATTATAGACCTATAAGTCTGACTAACTGTGACTATAAGATATCAGCATTTGTTCTAGCTAGAAGACTACAAACAGTTGTTTCAAAACTCATTAACAATAACCAATCAGCTTATATAAAAGGACATATATTGGATGTAACGCCAGATTAATTCAGGATATTTTTGATTACTGTTAAGATCAAAATGAAAACGGAATCCTACTTTTCTTAGACTTTGAAAAAGCTTTCGATACTATTGAATGGTCTTTTATGTTTGAAACATTAAAAGCTCTGAATTTTGGACCAAATTTTATGAAATGGATAAAAATATTATATAAAACCCCTAAATTTAGAGTAAAAAATAATGGATTTATTTTTAAA